CCGTCTCCCTGGTCTGCAGGGAGACGGGGAGCAAAGCCTTGGAGCATGCCTGCAGCGGGACAGCCCAGGCGCCCCTGGGCTGCCCGGCTGCCCGAGCCCCTCCGCGGCTTTGCTCCGTGTCTTCCTGGTCTGCAGACCAGGGAGACGCGGAGCAGCTTTTCTTGCCCTGGAGTACACGGGCCGTGGGACCGCGAGGTCCCGCAGTCCGTGTCCTCCGGGGCGAGAAAAGCCGTGTTTGTAACTGCGGATCTGACGTAAGTCGGATCCGCGTAAGTCGGGGACTGCCTGTATATGTATATGCTTTCCTGTGGTAACTGGGAACAGATGAGATAGTAGCCCCATATCCTGTTGCTGTGGAGTTTCTGACTCTATGGGCTGAGATGTGGAGGACTGTACGAAAGGATTTTACAACCAGAAACTTTGGTTATGCTGTACAAGAAGATGATCTGTCTGCGGTACAGCCACGGGCTGATATCTTGTGCCATTCATACACCCAAGAAGGAAGTCATAAGAACATAGGAATGGTAATGCTGGGTCAGACCAAAGGTCCACCTAGCCTACTATCCTGTTTTCTAACAGTGGACAGTGCCAGGTGCCCCAGGAGAAGCGAGCAGAAAAAGCAATCATCAAAGGACCCTTCCACCATCACCCATTCCTAGCTTCTGACAATAGAGTCTATGGGCACCATTCTTATCAATCCTGGCTAATAGTCATTGATTGACCTATCCGCCATGAATTTATCTACAGGCTGAACCTCACTAATACTGCACTCTCCGGTCTGGCACCATCCGTGGTCTGGCATGACTTTAGCTAGCTGGATAAGTGTGGCTAAGTTTCCTATGGTCCCATAAAATTTGTTTACAGATGCCAGTCCTGGATCTATTCTGAATTGTTTAGTTCTAATTGACCCCTAACTCTCTTCTACAAACCCAGTAAGCAGTGAAAGGGTTGGTAATGCTGGTAGGCAATATTGACCTCCTGTTGTTTGGCAAATTCTCTGATTCAGCACTGTTCAGGTCCAGAGGGTGCTGGACTAGAGAGGTTCTACCTGTAGTTCTTTTTTGGTCTTCACAACATCCTCTGGCAAGGAGTTCCACCAGTTGACTGTGCATTGTGTGAAGAAATGTTTCTTTTTTTGTTTTAAACTTGCTACCTATTAATTTAACTTGGTGTTCCCTCATTTTTGTGTGACGAGAGCAAGTAAATAATTTTGCCTTATCTACTTTCTCCCCATCAGTCATGATTTCATAGACCTCTATCATATTTCCTCTTAGTCTTGATTGTAAAATGGAATTCATAGCAGCCTAAATGAGGGAAGTGAATTTGAAGCTGGGGGCATAATAGCTGGTTTTGGTAAGACAAAACATGAACTTGGCCTATAGCCTAATAAGATTCTAAAACATTTATGAGTCTTATAGTCGGTGATCAGAGAAACAGGAGACAGGTGTGATCCTTTGTGTTAATATACACAAGGACCATTACACACTCAGCAGTTTTTCAAGCCAATTACAATGTAGCCAACAGGTCTACATACAAATCTGATGATGGAGGAACCTCAAAAGATTTAAATGTTTAGCTGAACCTACTGAGAACCCTTCAAGTCCAAATGGCCTTTAAATCCTATATCTCTACTTCCGACATCTTACTGCAAAAAAAGAAATTGAGGAGCACTACCATCTTTCCTTCAACTCACACACATTCACATGTCTTAAATTATGGAGAACACTCTCACCATCTGAATTTCTGGTGGGTTACCAAGCTGAGGCACTAACTCCTAAACCAATTTGGAGAGATGAAGCTGTAATTAACACCCATACCTGCCTTAGGTAATCTTGACCACTAACCATTCTTTCCTGGCTGACAAATTTCACCCAAAATGCAGCCATTCCACATGTGAGTCAAAATGGCTTCTGCTATTCCAACTGACAGCTTTGGGGATATCAGTGAGTTAAAAAGCCAGCCTTTGAGTCCAGTAATCAGAGCAGGTGCTCAGGACACCAGCTGCTGTGGGTACCAAATTAATATCCGGGGCACGTGTATGCACCAAATTTGGGTGGGTGGAATATTTGTTTTATTCTGTTCATATGTGTGGGGGCACTGAAAAGCTATACTGCCTTGGGCAACAAAACATGTAGCATGTGAATAATGTTATGAGGTTTGCATAAGGTTTGCATAATGTCTTGCTTTTAGTATAAATAAGTTGATAGAAAACATCCTCTTAGTGTTCTTTCCAGGACAAAATCAATCACTTGCCTCTTACCAATAAAAAAGCTGGGCTAACAAATTTCCAACACAGTCTCCAATAGAGGCCCGGTTTGAAACCCATCATTTGTTGTATGTCGTCACTGAATCTGTCCACACCTGCAGGTAAAAAACACAATCAGAAGACACACAGCTTTAAGTTGGCAAAACATTTTAAGATAGTAGCAAAAACCCCCAAACATATTTGTTATTTTTAGTGACAGAAAAATATAAGTGAGTTACTTCCAAACCAGAAATAGTATAAGGATGAATGAAATCCGGACTCCATTTTGTTTGCAGGAATTTCACAACTGAGTTCAAAAGGGCCAGGGTTACTCTTTCATTGTCTGTTCACATGAGACTCTAATTGTAAATCACATGACCACTGGGAAAGTTATGCTGACCTTCATGTTCAGTTAAGCTACAAAAACATTTCCAACATTTAAGTGGAAAAATGAATACAGATGCTTTTAAATTTATGGCTGTAAGCTATTGTACGTGTAGTAAAATTACACAATTCACTCATACTCATATAAAACTTCACATGCAAATAAGGTGCTGATTGTAAAGTAAATCCATATGTTTCTATGTTTCCACAGGAAACTCCTCTAGAGTCCTCCTACCAGATCCACTTTTTTCAGTGCAGTGTGAAGAAATAAGTTTTGTTTTTTTAATGTATGGAATTTTATCAACCTAGAATCTGCCTCAGGGCTTATCTTTTAATTTAGATGTATGCCACAACACACGAATATGAGCCTCCCATACTGAATCAAACCATGGTCCATCTTTCCCAATATCCCATCTCCAACAGTGGCCCATGCCAGTGCTTCAGAAGGAATGTAGAGACAAGAGCAATTATGGAGTGACCTATTCCTGTCTTCCAGTCCCAACATGTGGTAGTCGGAAGTTTAGAGTAGAACCTACCCAGGACTAGTGTAGAGTAGGACTGGGATTCTGTGGGTCTCACAAGACCCACTGCCATAACAACAGACATATATGGTAGCAGGATTTAATAGTGTCGACAGAGAAGATTCCACAGTCAACCTGTGGAACTCCTTGCCAGAGGATGTTGTGAAGGCCAGGACTTGAACAGGGTTCAAAAAGATCTAGATAAATTCATGGATCCATCAATGCTATTAGCCAGGAGAGGCAAGAATGGAGCCCCTAGTTTCTGGCTATTAGAAGCTGAGAATGGGCAACAGGGGATGGATCATTTGATGATTACATGTTCTATTCACTCCCTCTGGGGCACCTGGTATTGATCACCGTTGGAAGACAGGATACTGGGCTAGATGGACCTTTGGTATGATCCAGTATGTCCGTTCTTATAAGAAAATAAGTGACCCATCCACATGTATTAAAAAAGTGAGGCTACAACTATAAGAAATTGTGGGAGTTTTGATTGTTGAACTCATTGGGCAGTTGGGGGCAGAGGGTTTGTCTGATGAGACTCAAAGCTCAGATACTAAATAATTACAATCAGGCTTGTTAAATTAATGATGCAAAACATGTGTTTGTAAATGTGATAGACTCACCTTGGTCACTTGATTAGCAATTATAAATTTGTGCTAGCAATTGCAAATAGATGGCATATTGCTTTCATTGTGAGCAAAACCTTATTTAAGCAATCACCACTTAAAAATTGTAGCTGAAAGATCCAACGGTTTTTTACTGTGCTCTGTGGAAACACTCAAGACATGCATGGAAATGAGCAGAGGAGACTTATATGCACCTGACTTTGACTAGAGAGGAGGAAAGAGACAGACTCTCCTTAACCAAAATACAAAAGCGGCGAGGAGTCCTGTGGCACCTTATAGCAGACCCAGAATCTGACAAAGTGGGTCTTTGCCCACAAAAGCTTATGCTCCAACACTTCAGTTAGTCTATAAGGTGCCACAGGACTCCTCGCCGCTTTTGCAGATTCAGACTAACACGGCTACCCCTCTGATACTTAACCAAACTATCGTTGAAGTGTTTAGATGCCCCTCAAAACTAACAGATAACTCAGGTCCTTATTCATTCAACACCTTATTCATTGTTTCTTCTTCTTCTTCTTGTAAGTGTGTGGATAGCACATGTAAAAGGTGTTTTGTTTACAATACTAAAAGCTAGAACCCTCTGTGTCACCACAGTACACACAGTGGCAGTATACATTTCTTTTCATTGTCCTGTCAGTGAACTGAAGGAAGCCCCTGGGTTAAAAATCATGCTAAGTCATATTCATCGGGCCTTTCTGGAACTTTATACCTGACTGGAAATACTTTACTATTCTGCAGGATACATTCTATCCATAATATTTTATTAGAACAGAAATGTGTGTATTAATTGGGAGTTTTAATTTGTTACTCAAAATAATTGTAAAATGTCTTCTTC